TTCTGCTATCACGAAAGAGGATGCTAGATGGTTAGAGAGACCGTTCGAGGAAGAGGAAATCAGAGAGGTGGTTTTCAGTATGAATGATGATAAAGCACCAGGACCAGAAGGTTTCTCTTTCGCATTTTATAAGGTTTGTTGGGTGGTGGTGCGAGCGGATATTATAGATGTTCTTAACTATTTTTCTGAGCATGGCAGGTTTCTGAAAAGCTCAAATGCTACATTTATTGTGCTGGATTCCCAAGAAACCAGGGTGAGTAGACATTACAGATTTTCGCCCTATTAGCCTAGTTAGTGGGGTGTATAAGATTATTGCGAAGTTACTGGCGAATCGATTGAAGGAGGTGCTGGGGAAAGTGGTCTCTAAGTCCCAGAATGCTTTTGTAAAAGGAAGGCAGATTTTGGATTCTGTGCTTATTGCAAATGAATGCGTTGTGCCTTTTTATTGTGGACGGTTGTGCAGAGACAAGCGTTAACGGTGGATAATCTTCGAAGAAGGGGTTTTTGTATTACCGTGTGGTGTTACATGTGTAATAAGGATGAAGAGACGATTTACAACCTGTTCATTCATTGCGATGGTATTCGGTGGCTTTGGAACAGCATTCTTGTTTCCCAACATTTGGATTAGGTGATGTCTAGGCAAATTGAAGATGTGGTGCGGGCATGGAAGAGGAAATTTCGTGATAAAGATAGTAGGATTGAATAGGATCTTATTCCGAGATGCATTGTAGTGTGCGTGTGGAGAGAAAGGAATAACCGTTGTTTTAAAGACCAAACAAGAACTACATAGCAGTTCAGAGAATTGTTTTATATGACTTTGTATAGTTGGTTTAAGTCTATAACAATTAGTTCGATAGAAGGGTTGCCGAATTTTTTATNTGGCTAATAACCATATAGAAGGGTTGCCTAATTTCATGTCGTTCCTGTATTGTTTAAATTGATAATACATTTCCCGTGTATTATCTCTTGATTTATAAATAAATTCTCTGATTACTTATCAAAAAAAAAAAAATTTGTACAGCTCCAACTAAATAGATAAAGTATGAATTGAAAGATTTCTAAGCTACAAAAAAACTGATTCCCAACTAAAGAATGGGAAATCCATGAGCCATTTGAAGCCGCAAAATATCCATCAGCATAAGAATGTTACAGTTGGTAAATTACTACCATAATGAGTCCACGTGGATAAATAATAACCTGGGTTTAGATAGGCTAAATCAAGTATCATGCATTGCCTAAGCAAGATTTTCACGTAAACCTCAAAGCACTATGAGGCGTAAGCCTCAACATCAAGAATAAAATAGTTCAAAAGATTGTAAAATAAGAAAACTTATACTCATAATAAACAATAAATCATTTAAAAATCCACAATAAAACATTTCAACAAAATTAAAAATCTAATTTGCTACTGAAGACATAAAATAGGTTAGGGAACGCATGTGCTCTTCACTCCTGTTCTCTGATCTCCAATTCCTCTTCTTTGTAGATGTTAGGGTTGCATAGTGTTTGAAACAATTCAAAACACTTGAAACGCTCTGGGAGATGAAAAAGGCCAAACCAAGCCTGGATTAAACCCATTTTTAAAAGCATTATCTCATTCATTCCTTCTCTTCTTTCCTTAGAACATGTCCATAAAACTTTTTATCAAGATTAATGGTAAGTACATGCCAAAGGCACTCTTGAGTTATGGAAAGCATAGAAGATGAATAACAAATTATGCAAGCAATAACTGGAAAAATATATCAAGTAAATGAAGTACAAGGTAAAATAATTCCCATTAAATATAAATTATATAAGATCACTGCATAATACATAGAAAAGATAAAGCACATAAGTGCAAGTCGATCATTTGTATCTTCACGTACTAGTCTTTCAGTGAAGAATCCTATCAAGCTCTCTATTGAAGCATCATTTAGACGCTTTGATGTTAGTTGCATCAAAAGTTCTGCAAGGAGGAGAATTCCTGAACAAGGACATGAAAAATGCAGAGAGTTCAGTCAAAGAAGCAATATGTGTTATAACTGAGTATAAAAATTTATAAAAAACGAAGATCCCTTGAATTAATAAAAATGGGCAATCTTGAGCCAAATCCCGCGGCGGAATCTAATGTCTGTCATTGACGTTAATTAAATAATCAAAAACGACATAGTGCGCTATCATAAAGTGCAAATACGAGCTGTTGTTTATTACCACAAAGAACTGAAAAAAAATATCTAGAAAAGGATTATATACAATCCAAGCCTCCAATACAACCCAGATGTTTGTGACTTCAGATCATGTTTGGATGGGGTATAAGAGGTGCAATGCATTACTCGATGTGATATCAAGTGTTTGATTGTAGTTGTGGACCCAAATAGGTAATACACAGCCCACCATTTGTTTTCAAATGTTGCATTGTGATTACCATGACCATCATGAAATAAGGAATGAAATGATGAGTGCTGCTACCAACTAAATGATTTTTGACAACTATGTCCTCACTTTTGTAACGCCAAACAACCTATATACTCCCTTCCCACTAGATAGAAGAAACACATTCTGAAAAAGTCCGAGCTTGCCACAATTTCAACTTTTTCTCCTGTGAACTAAAAAGAGTATAAGTTGTCTCAGCATCACCTTGTCCAATGCAAGCCAAAAAATAGTATAAAAGAAAAGGTAATAAAGTTCGTCCATGATTTACTTGTCTTGAAATACCCCATCTGGACATGACTTATACATGCTAATTCTATACCCAAAACCAAAAATGCCCTCACATTAGGAATCAGTCATCATGTGCATATAATTATGGGATGACTCATCTTCTATGAGACGTGAAAAATAGGTCTCCATCCAGCTGAATTTGTGCAAATGTCATTGATCATCATGATGTTCTCAAAAGCACCCGAGGCTTAAACCTTGAGGCTTGCTTTGCATATGAGGCATTCAATAGGAGCCTCGAAGCTTACGCTTCGAATACCCTTTGAGAAGGATAGCACTTTTTAAGGCTGTTTTTCTAAAGCAAAACATATTAAAAGGTTTTTGGGATATTTTGAACAAAGCCAACTCTAAAACTGAGAAGAAAATAAAATTGTGAGTAAAAAAGACAACATGTGAAGAGTATGCACCCTAGTCCTTTACTCCTACAACTGAAGCGTGATGCCAAGTGAAGTTGCAAATTTTCATTGGCACGCTCAGAAATATACTCCTTGATATTTTTACACAACTGCGGAATGCAAAAATAATAGTTAATAGTCATTCCATCAAAGATACAAAGATCAAAGTTACCTCTTGAACGGATGATGCTATCTGTAGTAGTCAAGTACATATCCATTTCTCTAACCTGTGCACATTGAATAGTAAAATTCATCGCAGAGAAAGGTGCACACAGAAAGAACTAAAACTGCAAAAGGAAGAAATCTTACAAGTGCTTCTAGAGTTAACAGATCATTCTTTAGCAAATTCGCAATTGCATCTACACTTGCTGCCTGTAAATAACTCATGACACAAATCACTAAAATTTTAACAAGAAAACCTGATGAACTATTGAGAAAACTGAAAACTGGGTTAAATTGACACGCAAAGTTTTAAATTTTTTTTGTTTTAATTCTTAAAATCAGAAAAAGTGGGTTCTTTTTAGATTAATCTGTAATTATTTGGAGAATTGTGGAGAGATAACCTGTTGAGCAGCGGTGCTGGCCGAGTTAACATACAACTCGACGTGCTTCACCCACTGAGTTGGATTGGCCATTGTGCGAGAGTTCGTGGGGAGAAGGGAGAATGGGGTTTTAAGGGTTTTTCCCTGAACCGGGAGGGAATATTTGAAGCCTCTACCAAAATTTCTAGATTTTTTTATTTTTTTATTTTTTTATTTATTTTTTCTTGGCTATGGATTAAAGGGTATTACAGCCATTCTTAGCCTCAGGTAGACGCATTAAGTGTGTGTTTGTCTTCTATTATTGTAGAAGAAATAGAGTAATGAACAATATTTTTTGAAAAATGTGTAGTTGAAATTTAAAGTAAATTTATTGATTTTTGTGTAAAATATTTTATTTGGTGAATGTGTGGTGGAAAATCTTATTGTAACAAATAATGTTTTGAAATAATGGGAGACAAACGGAGCCTAAATTTTAATTTATTTTTCTCTTTCCTACTATCAATTACACATTCTCTCAATAAAAAGTCTATGTTTGGTCCAAATTAAAATCTGATTTTAATCCAAATCAAAATCAAACAAACAATATTAACCACATATTTCATGGATCCCACAACTTTTCAACCATTCAAAAACTTCTATCACAATCTGCTAAAAATCTAATATTAATCATCATCAAACACCCTCTAATATCACACATAAAATCAAAAATTATCTTTACTTTTTAATTACACATTCTTTAAAAATACTATTTTAAAATGAATTTTTTTAAAAATAATAGAGCTCAAACAAAGACAGTATCTTTGTCCTTTTAGAGCATCCCAACCCTCCACGTGATCGTACAAGTGACCTAGCCAAAAAAATTAAAGCAAAATTAGGCTTCTATACAAATTTTTTTTTTTTCAAATTTACTTTTAATTACACGTTCTTCCAATAAAATAATTTTATATGGAAGTTCAAAATTTTTTCCTACTTTATAACCATATATTCTCTATAAAAACACCATTACTAAACTTATTCCTTCAAAAAAGGGGCTCAAACACATAACTTAATCATTTTCCATTTGTGTTTTGTGCATTTGTTGAATATATTTCTTTGGTTATCAATCTCAAGTCAGAAAATTGTGAGTACGGTTAAAAATTTAAAATTGAGTTTTGTTACATCTAAATTAGGATTTACACCATAATTCGTTAAAACATAAAAGTGATCGATAATTTCATATACAAAACTCAATTTGATAATTGCTTTTTTCACTTTCAAAGTCCTCCAATCATGTCCTTAAGAATATTAACCCTCGATCCCTCTTAAAACGTCAATGTACCCCCAACTTGTACAAGTAGAACCCAAAATCATACTGACGTAGATAAAATCATTCATCAGAATAAGCCTCGTCCAATCTGTCGAGAAATCCTTTTTCAGCAGTCTTTTGGTGAACATCCATGTTGAAACGAATCCCATGTGTCGATGCTGCTTCAAACTTCGTCCACAATTCTTTCTTTAATGTATTCTCTCCTGGATGCCTTCTCACTAGGATACTGCTCTCCGGTTCCTTCACCACAGGAGTGCTTTCGGCTATTTCCAATCTACTGCCAACTTCTGTAGGCATACAATATAAAGAATTCACTTTTATCAGTGATCAAGTTCGATCCGAAATTTTTAAAAACAGAAAGAAAATGTACCTTTTTGGCATATTTTTCCGGCTGGGTAATGACCATCTTGATGATTGATTTCCTTCATAGAAGACAAGAGTGCTTGTCGACTATGCACTGAAGGAGTTTTTGGCGGCAGGCATTTGCTGGATATATTTGTCAACAATTTGTCATCAGGAGGCTCCATAATAACACAGGTTTTAGGAGGTGACATGATCAAATTTGGCAATTCTTCTACTCCCTTTGTTCTGTTTCCGAAGTTATGAGCTAGTTTTATTCCAATGAGTTCGGGGTACTTGAAAGCCAGATTATGTGACTTTGGACTGCTGGAGGATTCTGAATCCGCAGATGCACTAGAATTTTGAACTCCAATAGGAAAAGGTGTTGATCTTTGAACCCTCTGATTGTCCCTTTTTGAAAATTCAGATGCCGGCTCAAGCAAAATGCAGGACTTGGGTGGTGATACTTTCAAGGATGGAGTCATGACAAGCATAGAGCAGTTCATTCTAGAAATCTTTGCAGGAGAAGCACACTCGCACTCAAAATTGCACCCTGTTTTAGTCATTTCAGAATCCAAAACCTGGATTGAAGTTGGCTCTGCACGTCCTACTTTATGAGAAAGAAATGATGGGTAGGCAATTGCATCAGATGTAAGATTTTCAAACGCAGATTTAGAGGATGCCTGACATTTGGCTGAGAATGCCCTTGGTTGAGGCAGAGGTGTGAGTAGAAACAATTGCCTACCACCCTCAGTATTGCAATCAGTCCGCCAGGACACGAGGGGTGAAGGAGAGATGAGTGACTCCCACTTGGTTGGTTCCGGGCTTTCAACTTCAACACTTGTATCTCCTTTCACCACAGAAACCTCATTTTTTGCCAATGGCTGTTCCAACTTATTCTCAGGCCCTGTTAATTGACTTGAAAGTACCTTTTGGAATCTTGGAACCCATGGCTGCAGATTTGCTGATTTCACTTAAAAAACAAATAAAGAAATATAAAAGGTTTCTAAATCGGAAAAATCAAATACAGTACCAACCTTCAATGAAGTGTGCATTTCAGACAAGATATCTGCAAATGATTCCAATTCTTTGTTTCCTTTCTTGCTCTTCAATTGGAGAGCTTGAACGACTAGTTCATCAATCTGCAAATCAATGCATTAATACTCATGGGTTGAAGTGAAACCCTATAGTCTTAACCAATAAAAGACAAGGATTAAAAGTTAAGATTTCAAGTGAGAAAAAGGTGGTTCTGTTAATCCGAAAGCACTGATAAATGATTTCAGTAAGACATTTCTTAAACTCGTACCACTATCTGGTTGGAGGAGGTCCTAATAAAAGCTATTGTTAAGTAAAATTATGTTTACATCTAAAATTGAGCTCTTTAGAAGAGTCGTGAAGAAACACCCTATACCCCTCCCTTCGTCCATACACCAAGAAAAGGCGAAAAAAGAGAAACATTCATCATCTCCAAAAGTATTACTCATGTAAAATCAGGACAAGTTCAACTTCTAGTTATTTTGGGGGATAGTAACAAATAAATTTGAAGAAGAGAGCTTTAACCAAAGGGAGTTGGGATGTGGACATGATGTGGAATACGGCAGATGACTCCATTCAAAATAGCAAGGGAAGTATTAGAAGAATCTAAGTGATTTGACAATCTCATGCGGAAGTATATAAGAAATTGGGGGAGAAAGCTATTTACAATATATCTAGACAAGGGAGAAGATAAGTAGAAATCTAAACCAAGTAAAGTGTATCAAAAATAAAAACCACAGAGTTTTGCTTCCAAGCGATAAGGGAAAGGTGGAGGAATTATTTTGACAAATTATCTAATGAAAGATGAAGCATGGGATTTATTGAACTTCGCTAAAGGAATGTTAACTATAGTTTTGGAAAAACAATGAAGAGAAGAAAAACAACTGGTTCGAGTGAAATCTATAGAACTCTGCAAGTGTTCAGGCAAGGTGGCTATGCATGGTTGACATAATTGTTTAATGAGATTAAAAGAGTTAAAAAATGTCAAGTGAGCAGAGAATGAGAATTATGTTCTCTGCTTACAAAAATAAAAGAAATTTTCTGTATTGAGAGAATTACAGAACTATTAGGTTCATAAGCCATGTTATGGAAATATAGTAGAGGGAGATTAAACCTAGCAAAAACCAAATTATGCCTTTAAAGAAACAAATGAAACATGCAAGGGTCGAAGAGACAAAGGCACTTTAGGATTGAGATGTGACATCCAACCAATCAATTCAAACCATCATGTTAAGGTCATTTGATGCTACAATTTCAGGTTATAAATGGATGTCGAAATGGCAGCCAAGGCAATGCACTTTGTCCCCCTCAAACTATTATGCTTTTAAAGCCAAGCCATGTGATGAAAACACAGAAGAGGGTGATTGAACCTTGCAAAAACCAAATTATGCTTTCAAAGAAACAAATAAAACATGCAAGGGTTGCAGAGACAAAAGCACTTTAGCATTGAGATGTGATGTGATGTCCAAACTATTCAGCCCCTGTTTGTCTACCATTTTTATAAACATTATTTTCTACAATAAACAATCTCAACCACATATTCACTCAATAAAATATTCCACACACAAACCAATAAAGTTACTTTAAATTTCAACCACACATTCTCCAAAAAATACTATTTCTTACTCCATTTCTCTACCAATAATGATAGACAAACAGGTTCTCAGATTTGGGTTTCATCTAAAAGGTCAACATTAGTAACAGGATTGGGCTTTATTTCAATAATATTAGCCAAGATTTCATGAGACTCTGCTGGGAAACGAATTGATTATTCAGGTAGTTCAGTCGGGGCATCCTCAAGATATGTTTTCAGATACCGCTATATAATTACAACCCGTTTTGGTCAATGATACAAAACACCTTAACACAGAAAACAATTCATACCACCATGTTGCGGTCATTTGATGCTAAAATTATCAGATTGTGAAAGAATTCCAAACTGGCAGCCAAGGCGACGCGCTTTATCACCCTTGAACTATTGAATTATATCTTTTACCAGTCAATCTACGACATATCAGTAGCACATCTCCGATGCATTCCATTTACTTAATGATTAGCATCATCATACTCCAATACTACTTTTTTTAGATTATACTTTAATCATGACCTCCATACAACATTTAAACTCAATGTCTTATCCTTAATCTCACGTTTTTATTTTAAATGGAAAGGAATGACATAGTATGAAATGCCAATTAGTTTTGGAAGTACAGTCACTTGAACTTTCCGTTAGCCGCCTTCAACATTTCATTAGGAAAATAAAAGGCATGCCATAGTCTAAATCAGAAATTCTTGCGCAACAGCAAAAACTCAATTGTAATTTGTAATGAAACAAAGGGAATACGACAATTTGTCGGAATTTGAATGAAGCTACTATTTTTCCTTTTTTTTTTTTTATGTGACTTTATTTATTCTTATAAAGATGGCTTCAATCTAAATCAAGCCATAAAATGTCATACATTCAAAATTTCAAAATATTTTAATTCCCGTGAGTGTTACAACAATTTTGATGTATTAATTAAATCGAAACATAATTCCCAAAACAATTAACACTTTATCATCAAACTACCAGACTTAATTAAAGATATAAACACTAGGTTCTTGGTATAAAGTCTCAGAATAAAAAATAAGTTCCAATTTAGTTGATTATAACTTTGAATTAATGATTACCTGATGCATGAGGGAGGATAGATTGGAGTGAACGAGAAGTAGGCGATCGAGTGAATCGTCTCCCATTTGTTCTCCGTTTTCCTCTAGGGTTTTCTTGCAATTATTTGCAGACTTAATGGAGAGCAATTTCTTCGTACTTTTAGCATTGGATACATCTCGGAGAGGCTTCCTCGATGACTTCGATCTCATTATCGATTTCTCTCTGTCGTTCGGCACCTCTTCTCTGCGCCACCAACGGTAACTAGGCAAAGCTCTTTTTTCTATCACTAATATTTGAATTTCTCTTCTGCCAGGCGGGCCATTCTATTTTGGCTAATCAGTACAAAACCATCCCACCTTTGGGGTTGATTTCGAAAACTGTCTCCTCTTTTTATTTCTTAACATTTATGCCCTTACCTTCAATATTTTTGTGCGCCGAATGTCCTTTTCACATATTTTTGACGATTTTACCTCTCATTCAAATAAAACAAAAAGAAAAGAAAAGAAAAACAATCCAACAAATTGTAAGGATAGGTCCAAACTTTTTTAAAAATGCAAATAACCCACGAAATTTCACCTCTTCCCACAGCTCACCCAGGCTTCCCACCAAACTTCTCCTTCTTCCCACCCTATTTCAAGTTTATTCAACAGAAAATTCTGTATTGGTGTGGCTATGACACTCTATAGCTTTTTTTTTAGGTAACTAAACTCATCTATAAATCTAATGATTTTGTCATAACAGTTGTTGACCTCGAAAAATGGCTCGGACACGTGGCCAATAGGATAGGTCTTCAAGTCAGCTCGTCCTGCACACGTAGCACGTCGTTAGTCACTCGTGGCCTTTCCCAGAGGGGGTGGGAGCGACCGCAAACACTCCGACGGTCAAGTCAGTTTTATATTCAACCGGAAAAGGGTTCACCGGCGGTGGAACACTCGCCGGGAAGTGATCGACAAAGTGTCTCAATAAAATTGACAAATATAGGGGAGAGGATGATACTTGATTTCGCAATATGTAGGAGAGCAAATGGGATTCCAATCCTTTCTTTGGCACAAGGAGAGGATATTTATACTAAGGATAGAAAGAGGAAGGTCGTTAGATGAGGAGACACGTGTTGCCAAATCCTCAAGGCTCGTCCTATCCTAGATGTCACTATGTCCCTCTATAGGTCGACTGGTATTGAATGCTTCTGACATAGGCTGCTGATTTGACCGTTTGTGGACCTACCACACATCCCATCAGTCAGAGATTTGACTTTGGAAGGATCTTTGTAGAGGCGAGGTGTGGCAGGTGAAGCGTTGCAGCGTTGTAGAAGCGGAGTGCTGGCCTTTGCATCCACTGCGTACTTGTGGATGAGTCCGGTTCATTCGCTGACGCGTGTTCAGTTCATTCCTCATGTAATCACCTCGGCATGTACAATCAGCTCGTCCCCCGTACAGTCACCTCGTCCGACGCGTAGCTTGGGCCACATGTACGGACACGTGGTGGGCGAGGTGGCGGATCTGACACATGCCCGTAACAATAGTCCCGCAAATCCGTGTATGAATATTTATATAGTACAAGGACTTTTAATTCCGAGTTGGGAGGTACGGGGTTGAGTCGTTGGTGGTGAGAGCTGCGGATTG